ATAGAAGGACATACAATCCTTGTCCAAACAACCATCCAACGTTCAAACCCTAAGGCCTCGTTTGGCAGCTCGGATTGTATTGACTATTTCTGTCGGATAGGATAAATAGCCACCGGATAGTTAGACTAAATTAGTCGGCTGTTTGGTGCAGTATCGGACTAGTGACTGTATTATTTATACTGTGTTTGGTATTATACTAGATAGGAGGAATTAAACTTTAAAAAAAAAAAATTTAAAAAAGTGAAATCATTTTTTTGTTCCCAGATCTCTCCGCACCCCCCAAACACCCTCCCTCTCTCCCTTCTTCTTCCCCGACTACAGAAGAATCCCAAATAATTGTTCCCCAGCTCTCTCCGCCACACCCCCCAAACTCCCTCCCTTTCTCTCCCATATTCTTCTTCCCCGACTAAATAATCCGGGCGTTTTGGTTGGTTTTATTAAGCGGGTGTATATCGTGTTATCCTATCCGATCGGTTAAATTAATCCGGCGCTTATTTAGTACGAGTGAACGCCAAACACCCGAGTCCGTATAACTAATCATATCCGATCTTTTATCCGATCTGCCAAACAGAGCCTAAGCTTTTAATCATGATGGATCCTACCCCTCAAAATAGGTTCTCTAGTAGGAATGATTACTTAACAAAGTCATTCAATATATTAATGAGTAATGAACAGGAGTACCATTTACGAGTTTCAGAATAGGCTCCATGCTTGCGATCAGAGTTGATTACGAGAGAAGATCAATCACCAACCTGGACTTATTGTAACGATGTCAATCCTGAATAGGCTCCATGCTTGCATTCAGAGTTAGCAGCTTCCAAAGCTGATGAAGGAAAAGTCTTAGTGAATACAACGAACATGTATATAAAGCATAAAATATTTAACTTTTACACAACAAAAAATATGTAAAGTTGGTAGAGATATTTATGAACAAGACTAGGAAAGAGTAGAAAGTTAAGCTGTGGGACTTAAGGAAAATAAAATGCTTGATTTTGGATTTTTATTTTTCAAATGAATGTAAAGATAAATTTACATATTGAATTGGATTTGTGAGGGTATTTAAGGTAGTAAATTTGAGTTTTAAAAGATATTGATGGTTTAGTTAAAAACCAAATGGGTACAAGAAATAAGTTGGATATAGAAATAGGTTACATGGGTTTAAATAAAAATTTCTAAGTATTAATAGGCAAATATATGACACAAAATTTTAGAAACTAAAGTATATGAAAGTTGATGATTGATTTATTACTTAAACGTTGATAAACGTACTCATTCTTAGTGACATATCATTTAGTTTATAAATTTTGTCTCTAAATTTAATCTCACTAATATTACCAAATAAAAAAATGTGATCGTAAGACAAGAACTCAGGATAAAAAGAAAATGATAATTTAGGAATTTAAAAAGAAATTTTAAGAAAATATATTAATAACAAAACAACTAACGCAAAATCAAGTGCATTAACTTTTTAAAATTCGTTTAACAAACTATACCTAATGAGAAAATACTTTGTTATCGTCTTGTCATTTCACAAAATCGCTTACCTACCGTCGTACCCCTAGCCCCTAAATCACGCCCGTCCTCTTCCCCCTAAATCACGACCGTCCCCCCCACTTTCAATCACGACTGTCCTCCGCCCCCTCCCCGCCGGGCGCCCTCGGGGCAAAAGGAAAACGTCCGTCCTCCCCCTCTTTTCAAGCACTTTTTTGTATTGCAGGATAAATTTTACGAGACAGTTGGGGGATGGAATGGTTGATGCTGGTAGACTCAACCTGCAACTATTTTGTAAGATTAATTGATCCCCTTGTCAATAAATATTTGGACCAATTCCCTCACAAGATGATTTCTGATTGAAAACTTTAAAAAAACGTGTGTCGTTTGATTATGGTTAGGAAGGAGCTGTGTCAATAAATATTTGGACCAGTTTGATTATGGTTATGAATGGGTTGTGTCAATAAATATTTGGACCAATCCTCCGACAAGATGATTTCTGATTGAAAACTTCAAAAAAAAAACGTGTCTTTTAACTGTGATTAGGAATGAGCTGAAAGTTTACTCTCATTTTTTTACCGAAATCTCTATGAGTTGAATGATGTCACTCGAATGTTGAGCTTTAAAAGGCTTTTTAACAAGAAATGCTTAAAAAAATATTTGACACGTGACAGACAATGAGAGTTTTGGAAGTTCTCCATCATATTAGCCAACCCTCATATTTTATGTGTATTGTTGTTAGGAATTGTTATTAGCACTCCAAAAATCTCATTCTACACTCCAAACTTTTTATATTAGGAAAAAAAAAATACACGTGTGAGTGTGAGGAGTGTAGAATGAGATTTTTGGAGTGCCAAAAACACTTCCCTTGTTTTGTATTCTCTCTAATTTTTTTATACATTTTGGATGGATTCTCTCTGTGTGTGGTTAGCAGCAATAAACAAAAACAATCAGATTCAAGTGGCAAAGATGCTAATTTGGTGAACAATGGCAGAAGTGAGCTCGATTGTTAAAACTCCTCTAATTCCAGATCATCAAGAATTTGATGGTGAAACAATACCATCTCAAAGAGGAATTTGGAGAGGTGGGGATGTTATTGAAGAAGCAAAATTGCAGCTATGGCTGGCAGGGCCTCTGATTGCAGTGAGCTTGTTGCAGTACAGCTTACAAGTCACATCAGTCATGTTCGTTGGCCAACTTGGAGAGTTGGCACTCTCCAGTGCTTCCATGGCCTCTTCATTTGCTTCTGTCACTGGTTTCAGTGTACTGGTAAGTTGCTTCTCTTCACATGAAACGAAGATGCTAAGGTGGCAATTTTTCATCTTTGTCGCGCATTTTAACTTTTTTGTATTGCCAATATGATTGATTTGCTACACAACGACCTTTTATTCCCATTTCATGTAAGTCGTTCATTAGTTGAGTAACATGGACTTCTTTCGTTACCGTGATTCTTTATGGTCCGTCAGCGTTTTTGCTAAAAACACTTTAATTTTGAGGCCCACCAAAATTTTTTATTAAAATTAAGGTTCTTTATTGTGCTTTCACAACATAAGAGCACTTTCAACTTTTTCTATAGAACATTGCACTTTAAATTATCTGAAAGCCCTAGGTGATTTTCCTCTAATTTTCTCTCAAAAACATGAAATATGTCTCAGAGTTGGGAATGGGAAGTGCATTAGAAACCCTATGTGGACAAGCCTACGGAGCCAAACAGTACCACATGCTTGGAGTCCACATGCAAAGAGCAATGCTTACACTATTAGCAGTAAGCATCCCCGTAGCAGTCATCTGGTTCTACACAAGCACCATTCTCATGGCTCTTGGCCAAGACCATGAGATATCCACGGAGGCAGGAGCCTTTAACCACTGGATGATTCCGAGCCTGTTTGCCTAGTCTCCTCCAATGCCTCAACAGATTTTTACATACACAAAACAGTGTGTTTCCAATGATGATCCGTTCTGGAGTCACAGCTCTTCTTCACATTGTGGTTTGTTGGGCACTTTGTTTTGGATTCGGACTGGGAAACAAAGGTGTGGCGTTGGTAATTAGCATTTCAAATTGGGTTAATGAGGTGTTACTGGCATGTTACGTGCAGTTCTCGTCCACCTGCATGAACACTTGGACTGGATTTTCAGAAGAAGCCTTGAATGATATTGTCAGCTTTGTCAAACTTGCGATTTCATCAGCTATAATGATATGGTAAGTTTCTCATCAATGACATATATGTGAAAAACCCTTTTTTATTCCATCTGAATCACTAACTATACTCTTTCGCATTGCAGCTTCGAGTATTGGTCTTTCGAAATGGTTGTTCTCTTGTCTGGTCTTTTCCCGAACCCAAAACTGGAAACATCCGTATTATCGATAAGGTAACGTTATCATATGTAACAGATAAAAACAGAAACAGGAAACACAAAGTAGAAATTAAAGTTTCTCATCGTTAAAGAAAATTCGAATAGATTCTGAACTTTTATCATTAATGCAGCCTTAACATATGTTGGATGGTTTATATGATCTCAGTTGGTCTCGGCAGTGCTATAAGGTCCGTGATCCATGTAATTTTCTTTAGCATACGAACGTAAAATGTTGTACTTGTATACGTGTTTTATTCTAAGAAATTGAGAATAATATTTCCCTGTTATCATAAAAGCACTAGAGTGTCGAATGAATTGGGAGCAGGACAGCCGCAAGGCGCGCAATTAGCTCTACGGGTCATGACTGCAATGGCCTTGTTAGAGGGTGCTGGAATCGCAACAGCAACGGTTTTGGTACACTTTGTTTCGGGAAAGCTCTACAGCAATGAGAATGAAGTGATCGTATATGTTGCTAGAATGATGCCACTGCTTGCAGTTTCCGACATCTTGGATGGATTCCAATGTGTGCTTTCAGGTCCTAATCAATCTCTGTATATTACTGCATCGAACTGCTTGATGAAACTTTTAAATTAACATGTTTTTCTTGTCTAAATTCTGCTTTCGCTGCTAAAAAGAATTATAATTGGCTATCTAGGGGCTGCCAGAGGGTGTGGATGGCAAAATCTTTGTGTAGTCATAAACCTTGGTGCTTACTATGTTGTCGGAATTCCTACTGCTGTGCTTTTTGCTTTCTTCCTCCATATTGGAGGTATGGTGAGTCTCTCTCTCTTTCTCTACACACACACACACGTATGTGTGTGTGTACGTGCGTGCGCCATTGACGTCTAAATTTGTATGAATAGGGGCTTTGGATGGGGATCATTTGTGGGCTTCTTGTTCAAGTCACAGCGCTTGTTGCAGTAAATTTGTGCACTGATTGGCATGAAGAGGTAAGTCATTCATTTCACATTGCTAAAGCATTTTGTATATGTTTAATATAAGGTCTTATAGGTCTTTTCATTTTGCTGTTTCGGGCTACGAAAGCTGCGAATAGTGTCCAAAGTACCATCTTAGCCATCGACAAGGCGACATAGATTAGAAACGAAAGAACACCACATTGTAATAGGAGCAAAGGTTCAACATGTTTCCAGAACTTCAAAGAACTGCATTCCATTTTCAATTTAATTTCCAACACAATACATGAGTACAGAATTTCTCTAAAGATAGAAGTGCACTAGGAATCTGAATACCAAAACTCACAGTTCCGAGTACGAGACAGTCATGCGAGAATTATAAATACATAGAATCGTTAACCCCATGTACCACATCTTATCAGCCCAAACAATACAGATCAATCAACACTCAAGTCTATATGGTACAATATTTTTTAAAAAAATGGGGATGTTTGTAATTAGCATAGTTCTGTGAACTGAAATGATCGCCACGCCCAAATTTCTCGTAACAATGTGAATATCCATCATGAAGCCAATTCAACTTTACTACTGCACACAAACAGATGGTACAGTTGAGAGGGGTGGTTCTTCACCCTTGATGTTTGTTCCAGCTGCACTATCAGGTGAAGGAGGGGGCTGCCTTGTTTCAGTTCCACGATCAGGAGAAGAAGGAAGCTGCCTTGTTTCAGTTATGTGATCAGGAGAATGAGGGGTTTGTTGCTCTGCATTCTCATTGTTCTCGGGATGAAAATTAATAGGGAACTTTGTGACTCTCGGCTTGTCAGCTAAAATGTTTCTCTGAACCCTATCAACCAACACCTTAGAGGGAGGTTCCTCCCTCAGCTGTTCATCATCATAATCATTGTTCACATAGTACCCCACTCTAACAAACTCCTGCCCCAGATATGAACATGTCAGTAGCAGCACCGTGACACCAATGATATCTTCCTCACGTATTTTTGACGGATCTGGAGGGTCTGCCTGCCATAGTAACATAACACACCCACAAACGCACACAAACAGAAAATGATTCAGTTTCTTAGCGATTGCAATCCTAAAACATACTCGGAACAAGAATTTGGTGTAATTACCTGAAAGACAAAACGATAGTTACCAACGTTGACAGGACCAACAAGCACGCTCTCCAACATTTGGTCGTAAGTTTCATCTTCAGCAGATCCCACGTATATCAGCTTCCATTCCAAGTCTGCAAGAAATCAAATAGCATTACATGTCAAAACCATTGATGTTGCAGTAAATTATATCAAGAACCCTAGCTAAATCTCAATGATTGAACTATGTGATAGATCTACTAGCTGTGCAGCCCTTCAATTTTACATCCTAGTTTTACTAATAAAATAGCCCAATGTTTGAAATCCCTAATTGGGCAAATTATATTAAGAACCCTAGCTAAATCTCAAGCAAGACCCTCTAAAAATTTCCTATAAATTCAGCAAATAAATTAAATAAACTAATTTGAAGAATCATGGGTTTGATAAAATTACCGTCTTTGAGGGGAGTCAAGCACTCGTACGATATTTCGAACTGAAAAGGGCTGAGGAAAGCTGCCGGGTTGTCCAGAACGGCGACGTTCGTAAGGTTGACGGCGCTCATATTCTCAGAGCGAATCGAGACTCCGTTGCTTCTTTAAATAGACCAATCCTAGCTGTCGATTTGATATCCCGCGATGATCCGGCGGCTGGCGGATGGAGGAGAAGGGAAAGTAGGAGGAGGAGGAGATTGTGAGACGTGAAGAAGTGGGAAATGTGATGCGCTTTTTTTCGAGGAAATGTAATTATGTATTAATTAGATGGTGTGGAGGGAAAACTGGTACGGACTTTGGCGGGAGTTTCAACTCTGTTGGATTTAGGCCGTGAAAATTGCGGGGAGTTGGAATTTGGTTGGGCCTCATTTTACCCGACCCGTTAGCTTTTAGCTGACTGGCAGACGACGATTGAGCCCAAACCCACCAGTGGGTCAAGCTCCTAGCTAATTGTTCCCTATGGTAACAAATTAAGAGCTCATTGGCTCGCTTGGCTATGCTTTTAAAATGACTGAAAACGTTTTTTGTAAAAATATTCTTGATACCAATCGTTAGTAAAAATCCAAGTGAATCCTGGAAAGTACTTTAAGTACTTCCTGCAAGAAGCACATATCTAGTGCTTCTTCCAAAAAGCACTTAAAGTGTTTTTCAAACTCAAAATCAATTTAACCAAAAACGCTTTTAGATATTTTAAAAGCACATCCAAACGAGTACGAGGGCTCAAAACTTAATAACGTTCACAGAACAAAGTAGACACAGTGTTCAAAGTTTAAGTACCATTGCTAAAGTTTAGTTTCTCCACTCTTACTTGTGTAAGTTATGACACTAAGAACAAGCGAAATTGCAACTAAATTACATTACAAATTTACAAGAGTAATTTCCAAGTAATTGATTTACAATTTGCTAAATTTTGCTAGTAGTGTGACAAATTTTTGCGTGCATTATGGATTTTTCTTCAATGAATGAAAAGATGAGACCTAAACTTGTGACGTCTTTTAATGCTAAGAAGACAAGTATTATTAGATTAGTCAGTTTTTGTTGTTTAAATTTGTTGATCCTAAAAATTACAAAGTCTATGTGGCGCGCAGGCCGAGTAACTAATAAGCTAACTACGTTATTCGGTTGAATACGAGGCGTGCCAACTCGTCGTCCGAGGAGTAAAATTTATTGATGTTGTGTTGAGCGCGTTACTGACTTCTTTATTTTGTGACTGCAGCCGAGGAAGGAATAAATCTTGGCATTTAGATTCTCGAGCCTAAAGACAAGGCTGCTAGTTCTGCGAAGTTCATGAATCGTCGGTGTTGGATTCAGTCACGGTGATTATATTCATGAGAGTATAAGCACGTCGAATCGACACCAGACTATATGGACACAAGTATTCAAAGGTGACGTATGTCTTGATGGTGAATGTGGTTCGGCTGTCAGAATGCCGAACTCTGAAACTCACTTGTGAGTATCCAATCATAAAATCACTCGGTGTTCAATGTGCCGAATGTTGTAACTCGTAACATCTTACTTCACCGAGAAGGCTAATAAGATGACCTCTGTCAATAAGGATTCGGAAACCCTTCGTGACCGAGACTTGGATAGGTAACCAGTCGGCCTCGACGCAATGCTATTTATCCAAACTGAAGGTGCGCATCGGTCGACTGATTTTACAGTAACAGTGCTGTTTATCCAAACTGAAGGTGTTCGCCGGTTGCCTTCACAGTGCTGTTTATCCAAACTAAAGATGTGTCGGCGAGAAAAAGAAAAAAAAAATCTCAAGATGTTTGAGAGGTTTTGTGCATGGCAGTTGTGTGTTGAATTGGAGCTCTTTGAATTGCACCCTCCTTTCTCTATTTATAGCAGCAAAACCCAATCCTAACCATACTTGAACTAGGACTCCTTACCCCAATCCATCTTATCTTGCCCAATCCCACTTCTATTAGGATTTTGAATTCAACCTCTTACTAGGCCACATTCACTTCCACTTTCTGGTATCTTTACTTGGCCGAAAATCCTTATTGCATCAGGACTTAACCACTTCATTCATCTGCTTCGCAATAGGGCCTACCTACTTCCTATTCATCTGGAACATTCTTTTCCAAACAGGGCTTGGCCGACTTGTAGTTAGGCGGTCCATGAACGGGCTAGTTTGTAGAAATCCTCGAACATAGCTTATGGGCCGAGAATAATTCCACACTCGGCCCAACCCAATCATTTTGGGTCCAAACAAAATTACATCATTCCGACTATAGTATTTTAATTTGGTAACAATAATAAAATTGGAAGAAACAAAACAATTGTGTGTGAAGGCAAATCTAAAAATATGCTTTGACTTGTTAGTTACCTGGTTTTTTGGAAATGTGGAATCACCATACGACGCGAGGGCATGCAAAAAGCTCATGCGACCAAGCTTGCAAATCCTAAGGAAAATTAACTTGACACATGTAGCGCCACCGTGGACGTAGCTCCACTGCCCGTACCATGCATTTCACAACATCAGATAAAATTAAATTACCCTGTTAAAAAAAAAAGGAAATTTAAATACCAAAAAAAGAAAATAAATAAATAAAACAAAAAATTAAAATATGGAAAATTAAAATATAAGAAAAGTTAAACATGAGGGCGTGTTTGGCAACGAGATTTTTTAATATGTCAAACAACACATACAATTGATATATTAAGTGTTATAATACAAGTAATATATATAATAGTTGATACGGAAAATTGCCGAAAAGGTCCCAAAACAAAACAAAACAAAACAAAAGGAAAAAACGAAAAATAACAAAGTGAAAAAAGTAAAAAGTCAAAAAAAAAAAAAAAGAATATTCTAATTTTGGGGCCGAGCAGCTGTACATATACCAATTGCAACTGGACTCCGCAAACCCTAGTCTTTTCCTTCACTCTCTCTCCCTGCTTTCTCTATCTGAAGCCCTAACAAAAATGGCTTCGCGTAGGCTCCTATCCTCTCTCGCCCGGTCCTCCGTCCGCCGGGCGCCGTCCAAATCTCCGATCTCAAGCCCTAACCCCAGGGTCGCATACCCATCGCCGTCTTCCCGATCCGCTTCCCCCTACGGCTACCTCCTCAACCGCGTCGCTCAGTACTCGACCGCCGCCGCCGCCGAGCCTCAGACGGTTTCAGCCTCTCCGAAGAGCAAGGATTCCGGGAAGGGAAAAATCACCGACGAATTCACCGGGAAAGGCTCGATCGGGCAGGTGTGCCAGGTGATCGGAGCCGTCGTCGATGTGAGGTTCGAGGAGGGACTTCCCCCGATCTTGACGGCGCTTGAGGTGCTGGACAACTCGATCCGGTTGGTGCTCGAGGTGGCTCAGCACTTGGGCGAGAGCATGGTCAGGACCATTGCTATGGATGGGACTGAAGGGCTTGTGAGAGGACAGCGCGTTCTCAACACCGGTTCGCCGATCACTGTAAGCTATATATGATTCTTTTACGGTATGCGCTTTCTGATTTGATGAGAAATGTTAGGGCTTTAGTGTTGTTCGATCCTAAAAGTGTTGACTTTGGTGATTGGATTGATAGAAATGAGATGGGTTTTGATTGATTTGTGAATTTTTGGTGGGGTTTTCAGATCTTGGTGTTACTACTATGGATTGATTTATGGTACACATTTTTGTAGTAGAAATGTAGAATTGTTGATTGATTGATTTACACTTATGGTGCATTCAATGTTAGCCATTAGAATTACTCGTGTCCTCAACGACTAGATTTTCTTCAGAATTTATGTGGACAATTTGTGATCTTTTTGTCCGAGTTTTCCTATCTATCCTTTTTAGTTCTGATCATTTACAGTTTTGTTTTCACGAACTTGATGTGCTTATTGTTTTGGAGATGATTTTAGTGGTTACATTTGGATTTTCCTTGAAATCTAACTTGTATTTTGGTTTTTATTTGCTATTTTAGGTTCCTGTTGGAAGGGCTACTCTTGGCCGTATCATGAACGTCATTGGAGAGCCCATTGACCATAGAGGCGATATCAGTAAGAAATTTGTAAACCTTGAAATATATAATCACTTGGTTATGATGTGTGCATATTCTGGTGTATTACGTTAATACATTGCGCCCACTTTCTGATAATTTATGTGTGAACACTCCAACAGGCACCGATCACTTTCTGCCCATTCACAGAGAAGCTCCTGCTTTTGTTGAGCAAGCAACCGAGCAGCAGATCCTTGTTACTGGAATTAAGGTATGAATATTTACTATGTAATTTGTTTTAGAATTTGATTCTCTTGTTGCTTTGCTTCTCCATTGCCTTTGGATTCCATGTGGTGATTAAGTATACTTACTTCACCTGCTTCATATACAGGTTGTCGACCTTCTTGCTCCCTACCAAAGGGGAGGAAAGATTGGGTTGTTTGGTGGTGCTGGTGTGGGAAAAACTGTGCTTATTATGGAACTTATCAACAATGTTGCTAAGGCTCATGGTCAGTTTTTTTTAAAGATGTGCATGTTAACGAACTTGTTTGGTTGTTTTTATTGCTTGTTTACACATCCTTGTTTCATTGTTCAGGTGGTTTCTCTGTGTTTGCTGGTGTCGGAGAACGTACTCGTGAGGGCAATGACTTGTACAGGGAAATGATTGAGAGTGGTGTCATTAAGCTAGGTGAAAAGCAGGTAGAGACTGCTTTCACATGCCACCCCTTTCCATGCATTTGTTACTGTTACTGTTTTCTGGAAGTTGTTCCTTATTTGCTATTCTCCTTCTTTTGTTTTGTCAGGCTGACAGCAAATGTGCTCTTGTGTACGGTCAAATGAATGAGCCCCCTGGTGCTCGTGCTCGTGTTGGTTTGACTGGGCTCACTGTGGCTGAACACTTCCGTGATGCTGAAGGGCAAGATGTGCTTCTATTTATTGACAACATTTTCCGATTTACCCAAGTAAGTACTCTTGTTGGAGAACTGTGGAAGCTTATACGTCGCCTGTTCAAACAAGAAGATTATATGTCATCAGACATTGCATCTAATGGTCTGTGTTTTTCTCTGGTCCATCCTGCAGGCAAACTCAGAGGTGTCTGCTTTGCTTGGTCGTATCCCATCTGCTGTCGGGTACCAGCCTACTTTAGCTACTGATCTTGGAGGTCTTCAGGAGCGTATCACAACTACCAAGAAGGGTTCCATCACTTCTGTCCAAGCTATCTATGTGCCTGCTGATGATTTGACAGATCCTGCTCCTGCCACTACCTTTGCTCACTTGGATGCCACCACTGTGCTTTCACGACAGGTCTGACGTGTCTATA